GATGGCTAATGAGGTTGAGCATTTCTTTAAATGTTTCTCTGCCATTCCATATTCCTCTACAGAGAATTCTTTGTTTAGCTCTGTTCCCCATTTTTTAATTGGATTACTTGGTTTGGTGCTTTTCAGCTTCTTTAGTTCTTTGTATATACTGGATATGAGTCCTCTGTCAGATAAAGGGTTAGTGAAGATTCTTTCCCAATCTGTAGGCAGTCGTTTTGTTTTGATGACAGTGTCCTTTGCTTTACAGAAGCTTTTCAGTTTCATGAGGTCCCATTTATTGATTGTTGCTCTTAGAGCCTGTGCTGTTGGTGTTCTGTTCAGGAAGTTGTCTCCTGTGCCAATGAGTTCTAGGCTCTTCCCCACTTTTTCTTCTAACAGATTTAGAGTATCTGGTTTTATGTTGAGGTCTTTGATCCACTTGGACTTTAGTTTTGTGCAGGGTGATAAATATAAATCTCTTTTCATTTTTCTGCATGTGGACATCCAGTTGGACCAGCACCATTTGTTGAAGATGCTGTCTTTTTTCCATTGAATGGTTTTGGCTTCTTTGTCAAAAATTGAGTATTCATAGGTGTGTGGGTTTATTTCTGGGTCTTCTATGCGGTTCCATTGATCCTCCTTTCTGTTTTTATGCAAATACCATGCAGTTTTTATTACTATTGCTCTGTAGTACAACTTGAGATCGGGGATGGAGATACCTCCAGATGATCTGTTGTTGTACAGGATTGTTTTGGAGATTCTGGGTTTTTTGTTTCTCCATATGAAGCTGAGAATCTTTTTTTCAAGGTCTGTAAAGAATTGAGTTGGTATTTTGATGGGAATTGCATTGAATCTGTAGATTGCTTTTGGCAGGATGGCCATTTTCACAATGTTAATCCTACCAATCCATGAGCATGGGAGATCTTTCCATCTTCTGAGATCTTCTTCAGTTTCTTTCTTCAGAGACTTGAAGTTTTTCTCAAACAGGTCTTTCACTTGCTTGGTTAGTGTCACCCCAAGGTACTTTATGTAGTTAGTGGCTATTGTGAAGGGTGTTGTTTCCCTAATTTCTTTCTTGGCCATTTTGTCTTTGGTATACAGGAGGGCTTCTGATTTTTTTGAGTTGATTTTGTATCCTGCCACTTTGCTGAAGGTGTTTATCAGCTGGAGGAGTTCTCTGGTTGAATTCTTGGGGTCGCTCATATATACTATCATATCATCCCCCCAGCATTTTTTTATTTATTACAATTTATTCATTTTGTATCTCAGCTGTAGACCCCTCCCTCATCCCCTCCCAATCCTACCCTCCATCCTTCTCCTCCACTGCCCCTCCCCCAGTCGACTGAAAGGGGAAGTCCTCCTCCCCTTTCATCTGACCCTAGCCTATCAGGACTCATCAGTACTGGGTGCATTGTCTTCCTCTGTGGCCTGTTAAGGCTCCTCCCCCCTGCCTCCCCCCCCACACACACTCATGGGGGAGGTGATCAAAGAGCCAGCCACTGAGTTCACATCAGAGACAGCCTCTGTTCCCCTTACTAGACAAGTCACTTGGAGGCTGAGCTGCCATGGGCTATATCTCTGCAGGCGTTCTAGGATATACTCCTTAGTTGGAGTATCAGTCTCAAAAAAGACCCCTGTGCCCAGATTTTTTGGTTCTGTTGCTCTTCTTGTGTAGCTCCTGTTCCCTCCAGGTCTTTCTATCTCCCGCTTCTTTCATAAGATTCCCTGCACTCTGCCCAAAGTTTGGCTATGATTCTCAGCATCTGCTTTAATACCCTGCTGGCTAGAGTCTTTCAGAGGCCCTTTGTGGTAGGGCTCCTGTCCTGTTCCCTGTTTTCTCCCTCTTACGATGTCTATCACATTTGCCTTTCCGAATGAGGATTGAGCATCTTACCCAGGGTCCTCATTCTTGCTTAGCTTCCTTAAGAGTATTCATAAAATATGATCAAGTATACAACAAGGACATTTGCTCAACCATGTTTGTAGCAGCTTTATTTGTAATAGCCAGAAGCTGGAAACAACCCAGATGTCCCTTTGGATACAGAAATTGTGCTATCTTTATACAATGGAATACTACTTAGCAATTAAAAACAAGGAAATTGTAAAATTTGCAGGCAAATGTAGGGAACTAGAAAAGATCATCCTGAGTGCGGTATCCCAGAAGCAGAAAGACACACATGGTATATACTCACTTATAAGTGGGTATTATACATATAATGTAGGATAATCATACTAAAATCTGTAAACCTAATGTCCACTTATACTGAGTATATACCATGTATGTCTTTCTGCTTCTGGGATACCTCACTCAGGATGATCTTTTTTAGGTCCCACCATTTGCCTGCAGATTTCATGATTTCCATGTTTTTAATTGCTAAGTAGTAATCTATAATTATTTTTTTCATTTGAAATTGAAATGTTCGTCATTAGGGATATATTCAATTGGTGTAATAATTAATACCTTAACATTTACAAGCCCCTTAGGAGAGGAAGGGAGGGAGGTGACATCACTGTATATGAGAATATACAGAAAGTACTATGTCAACATGAAAAACACTGTAAAGAGTGTGGGCTTTAAAATCAAAATATAGTTTCAAATCTTGACTGTGTTTGTATCAGGCCACATGGACTTAACCTCTTGTAACCCTTTCTCTCAGATTTACTTTTTTAGTGGAGTCCAAATTAGTATACCACAGAGACTCCTACATAGCCACTGAAACACTGTTCACAATAAGAGGTTATTAAATTGGCTTGGGTGTCCCATAAACAGTAAATAAAAATGTAGGCTGGTAACTGTATCCATGTGTATTATTTGATCACAAAAGAAAATGAAATTATGTTATTTGCTGGGAAGTAATGAATCTGGAGATCATTATGTTAAGAACAATATGCTAGGTCAGGAAAAACAAACATGTTTTTTTTTTTCATGTGGAATCTAAATTAAATATATACACACGTGTATATGTATATGACATGAAAATAATAAAAAGATTAGTATTTGGGAAGAGGAAGGATAACATGGAGGGCAAAGGAAGATAGAGTGTATAAGCAAACTAACTCTGATTTTAACGTATGAAAATGTAAGACTAAAACCCTTGATGCTGTAAAAGTAAATATATGCTAATAAATTAAATGCTTAATGGATATAGTGATAATAGATTAGCAGTATACTGTACTGGAGGCTGGAAAATAGCATATTATTTGGTGAAATGAGCTGGAGTCTGAAATAATAGTTGTGCATTGAGAAGAGCTCGGTGGAAACAAAAGTCCTGGTGGCTAAACCCAGAACTCATAAATTAAGGGTTGTCTAGGTGGGAAAGAGCTGTGAAGAAAATCTGTGAGGGGGAAATTTCTTTTCAGGACCATTGCACTGAGGTTGGGGGGGGGGGGCTGTGCTCAGAGTGGAGGTGGAGTACAGGGTCTTTAAATTCAAGTCATTGTGATGTGATGAATTAAGTGAGTCTGCATCAGCCTGGTTGCTTTGTCTTCTTGCCCTGTGCCCTTGCACACAGGAAAAGGTCTGAAACACTTGGTTTGTGAGTTGATGGATTACATTCCTAATGAGTGTGTAATCACCATAAGAATATCCAGACATAAAATAGGCTATTGATTGTCTTCTTTAACTCCATTGTGGTTGTAGAGGTGGACTGTGTATTGCCTGTGATAGCAGTGCTGAACATTCTTAAGTAGAATTCATGAATGACATCCTTAGGTTCTTCTATATTTTCTATTTTTAAAAAATAGAAAAAAAAAAAAAAAAAAAAAAAAAACGCCTCTCCACCCTCGTGCCTGATAGGGATTTTAAAAGGAGAAGCCTCTTAAAGCTTGATCATGGGAAGTGTTAGGAACATTCCCCGAGGCCAGATATACTGGGTTCTGGAGTTGACAGAGCCTGCATAAACTTGTATATCATAAGGCGGCAGGCTCTGATATTCCAGCTGTTGCCAGCATGCCTTCGTGACTCCACAATGCTGTAGGCAGCAGGATTCTGCGGTGGCAGAGACAGGCTCTGGGTCCCTGAAGCACTTAGCTGCCTTTGCAGACTGAATGAGCCACAGTCTACAGCAGCAAGCAGGGATGCAGGTAAGAGACTCCAGTGCTCCTTCTCAGAGCATCTTATGCCTGAGGGGAACTGTTTTAAAAATCACTTGTGCTTTTTGTGAGGGGGGTGTAGTTCCCAATGCCTCTTTTGTTCTACGGTCTTAAAGGGCAGGTTGTTTGTTAGCTCACAATGGCATGTGTCTGATCTGGCAAGATCTGCAAACATTCTCATTGTTTATTGTTCTGTCCAAAAATGAAAAATCATGTAAATCAGGGTTCAGATTCTGACTGGAGTGCTCTGCAAGCATGTACACATGTTTACCCATCCTGCATGCTTGTCTAAGGGTACATGCAGTTTTTGCAGCCTTCGTTTTTACAGCTAGCTGAAAGCACATTGGAACAGAAAGCTGTCCTCCCTAACTGGTGGGACTGATAGCCCTTGCTGTATGGAAAAATTACTCTGTATGAGTTCTGCACATGGGTGACCCAAGTATGTTGGTACAAGAATGCCTGAATCTGTGAAGACCTGTCTGCATTGCTGTTTCTTTTTTAGTATCCATAAAATACAGGCATTCTCACTCTGGAGACACTGAAAGAAAATGGTGAGTTAGCCAAATCCAAATTGGGGCGTGGGGGTGGTAAAACCAGGTGTGCATGCCTGGTCATATGAACGGTCCACATAGCTTGATAACTGCAGTGAAAAAAATCTTCAAGGAGAAAATGAATCTCTATGGTTTTTAACATTTTTAGTTCTTCTAATTTGTTTTGATTATGATAGTGCTCTTTCTTTGAATGTGTTTGCATTTTCCATTCTGCCTCTTACATTGTGTTTAAAAATGCAAGTTATTGTTTGGGCTAAATGTTATTGGGCTAAAGTTATTGTTTGTTGCTAAATGATGAATTGCCTTTGCTGCAAGCAAGGAAGCTTTCTCATGTGTGGAAGGAATGCCATTTTCACAGGGAAATTGCTGCATAGCTATCTCTGGATACACATACGCGTACTATCTGAGTCTCTATCCACTGACTCATGGGGGTAGGTGTCATCTTGAGTTGCATATTTAGGCATTGATTGTGCCAGTGCAGAGGCAAAAAAAAAGAAAAGAACAAGAGAAAAGGCAAATTAAGGAAAGGTTTTCTAAAATCTGGTAGCCTTAATAACTAAACAGCTTGCTGGCTGCCTACTGACTACATTTATAAAATGAATGGAAAATAATTTAAGCATAAAATGCAGGTACAAATTTAAATGGTTGGCATATTTTCTGATATAAGGTTTTTTTTTTATCATTTTGTCATGGAAAGCATTGCATTTGTAGTAGAAAGGGGGACATGTATGTATACTTTATATATAGCAGAAAATACTTTATATATATATATATACATCCCGTACACACACATACACCTCTATCTTAAGGAGAAACTTTACAGAGGCATTCTTATTCAAGCATACACAAAGGTAGTTTGTTTGTTTGTTTTCAATGTTCTGGAAATAATCACAAGTGTCAACGAGATGGGTTGTAGAAAGCATCTGCTACCCAGCTGCATTGACAAATGACTTAGTAAATGCCTGTTAACTGCTGCATGCTTTGCACAGACTGGCCACTCCCCCAAAGTCTGACTTTGGATGCTGGAGGTTGGAGAAAGTAGTAATTTATGTGGCCTTTTAAAAATACTTTTGTATGGCTCTTTACTATTTTATATTTGTGTGTGTGTGTGCATGCATGTATGTATGTATATGTGATGATCATCGTTGGAAAGCTATAGGAAGTCGCTAGCATTTTATGTCTACTTTGAGCTACCCATCTTTCCCCTTCCTTGGACACTAGAGGTTTTAGCTGGCTTCTGCTAGAGCAAGTTAGTAGTCAGATCATCATGTAAATTGTAGACATTTCTGGATGTCAAGGATCCATTTAATTATTCACCCATTTTCACCACCCCCTCTTTTTAAAAAAAATAATTGTTAGATAGGGTGGGGAGATAGCTCAAATTAATGTTAAAAATTTTTAAAAAGAAAGAAATTTAAAACTATCCTTAATTCTCTCACTCAGTAATTCCACTATAGAACATGGAGGTGTGTTTGCTTAGAAATCTTGTTTCAATGCAAATATATGTTTTACATAGGCAGTCATTCTCCACATAGTGTATGGAAACTGCCTTTGAAAAATATAAATAACTTGTATATGTACTATGCCTGGTATCCTAAAATGTAAGAAATTTGTCTTATACTGTACACATTTAAAGCTACTTCTAGCCATTCACAATTACAAATAAGAGTTTAGTAAACATATTGTACTAAAGAAAGTAATGCACTTATGTGTGGATTGTCTTAAGGCATGGTAGATACATATTTAGGAGGCATCACTTTGTGTACCTGTGAAGTGTATCCTTGCTATTCGTGCCTCACTCACCAGCAGCCTAGGAAGTCTTATTTCTCTCATAACTTTGCCAATATCAAACATTAACTCAGAATTCTGTGGTTTATTAAGTAACCCACTTTTAACATGCATTTTCTGAGGTTGGGGAAAGGCAATCTTTTTGTATATTTATTGGCCTTTTTTATTTGTTATTTTTCTTTTTTTGTTCATTACTATTCACATTTCTATTGAAAGTGGACCTTTCTTAATCATTGTCATTTAGGTTACAATACATCCATGCAGTGAGGTGTGTACTTTTCAAACATTTACAACTGATTATTAGGATTAGATTATTACTGTAATACATGAGTTGAATCCTCTTGTTATGGCCCATACTTGCTGACTCAGTGTTACCAGTTCTGTATTTTGGTGGCCACCAGCATCTAGCAACTATTTATTGTTGCTGGTATTCAGTTACTATTTGTATGGCTTTATATGCAACCAGCCATAGTTCTGTTAATTCTGAAATAGTCTATAATGCTTTACAAAGAAGACAACGTGACTAAGGATGAAAACCAGGGTTTTCAGACTAATGTGTTATGTTGCATTGTAGGAGGAAATTCAGAAGATGAGTCTAAATCCTAGCCTAGAGCAAGTTGCTTTTTTCTGGTAGGGCTTCCTGACTATTTGCAGTAGGCTAGTGTGTTCAAGTAGTAGAGGAGAGTCATATGTCCTTTGTACTCTGTCATGTTCTTAGTCTGCAAAGTATTTGGTAAATTAATCTGCTTTGCTGAGGACTTTAGAGATTTTTGGGGTCCTAACATTTGTTGTTGCTAAGGTAAGAGGACCCTGAGTTCAATGCCTGAGTGAGCTCCCTATTGAGATACTGTCTAAAATAAAGAAATAAAGAAAAAAAAAAAAAGGAAGAGAAGTACAAGGATTCAGCTTGATCTGATTACTGTAACTTTTAGTCATCACCTCCATGGTTGACACTGAATAACCCTGGTCTGTTTTCTTCACATAATTTTCCAATATACTACAAGTAAGCAAAACAGACCCTGGCTACAGGGATGTTCCTGGTTCTTTGATATTAAATTAAGATAAACAGGTATGTTACATGTAGGATGTCATTAGATATATACCCCTCCTTCTCACTCAAATGGTAGGTCTCCAACTGATCTTGCTACAACCTATGACCTAAGATGGCATGACAAATCTTAGATTTGTCTGCCTCCTTTTTTTCTTTCCCCATTTTCTTAAAAAAAAAAAAAATGTGTGTGTGCGTGTGTTTTGCCTGCATGCATGTATATGGTTACAGATGGTTGTGAACCACCATGTGGAGGCTGGGAATTCAATCTTGGACCTGTGTGTGGAAAAAAAAGTACTCTGAACCACTGAGCCATCTTTCCAGCCCTTGTCTGTCCCCCCAATAGATCTTACAGTATCTGGGGGCAAGTTTTCATGCAGTAGGACAAAATTGTTCTAGAGTGGTATATTCTAATCAGACTTTGTGTATAAACCATGCTGCACACCAGCAACTTACTGTCTATATTTTTTTATTAATGAATGGGACATGCTAAATCAAGGATTAAAATTTCTAGTTTACTAAGCCTTGTTCCACATAGCAAGGCATATACTAAAATTTTAAAATCATAAGTGGGCTGGCCTGGTGCTGCCAAGATTTTAATCTGCCAAGCTACCTGGGAGACTAAGGCAGGAAGATCCAAGTTTAAGTCCAGGTTGGACAGTTTATGTGAAAATAAAAAGTAGGTTAGAATTCTAGCTCAGTGATAGAGTGCTTGTCTCACAGGCCTAAGGCCCTAGGTACTTGCAGTTTCTAGTGTTGTTAAAGGAGAAGTAATAACAACAAACAAGTGTGTATAAGTACTCATTTTTATAAACACTAAGAAGGATATAAAGGAGTATGTTAAGGCTAGTGATATTCCCCAATTGGTAAAGTGCTTACTTAGCATCCAAAAAGCCCTTCTTTCAATCCCCAGTACTGCATAAACTTAGCATTGTGGTGCATACCTTAATTCCAGCATTCAGGAGGTAGAAGCAGGAAAGAAACAGAAGTCCAGGCTTTCTTTGACTATATAGTTAACTCAAGGCCCCGCCTGAAACACCTGAGATCCTGCCTCAAGAAAAGAAAAGAAAGGGAGGGATAAAGAGAGGATTAGTATGCATATGAGAATGCCAGGAGAGGGGACAGAAGAGTTTATGTGGTGGAGAGTGTGATGAAGTTTAAAACACTTAAAATATGAAACCAAACAAAACAACAACAACAAAAAAAACCTTTCCTGACCTCTTTTCAGTTTTATCTGGGGCAGTGTTGCTTTACCTAAGTGGAGTTCCACAGACTTCATTTTGAAGGTATGTCATTTTGAAGAGATAGTCTGGCTCGGAAAGTCGTTCTGACTGGAAGAACATGGGTAGATCCTCCAGGCTTGGTGCCAGGGAACATTTATAGTCACCATTTTTATAAATAATGATTATTTCCTTTGGAAAGGACATACAGAGCCAAGAATTAAAATGTCAGGAATATAGCTTTTGATACCCAGATGTAGTGGGTAGAAAAGTGGGAGAGAAGGAATTTGGGAAGGAATGTTTTGCAAAACAGATTCTTAATGTTTTCTTACCATCCAAATTGCTTGAAAGTCTGCTTTTTGAAATAGATTTGGAGGCATGTCATCCTTCAGTATTCAACCCATCGCCAGGCCTTCTGACTGATTCTCAGAATGCATGTTTTAAAAGCATAGATAGTTCAATAGGATACTTGAGCAGCAGCTATAAACTATAATCTTCAAATACAGGCTGATTTGTGTGTGTGTGTGTGTGTGTGTGTGTGTGTGTGTGTGTGTGTTTGTGTGTGTGTGTATGCTTGCATATATATATTTCTGTGCCTGGTGGGGGGCACACATGAATCATGTTCAGACATCTATGTCAATGTCTTTCTTGGTCACTCTCCACCTTATTTTTGAGACAGTTTCTTAACCTAAAGTTTATTGACATGGTTAGTCTGGCTGGCTGATGAGCTTCACAAGATCCACTTGTCTCCAACCTTTCCCTTAGCACTGGGGTTACACACACATACCACCACACAAAGCTTTTCTATAGATGCTGGTGATACACACTTGAGTCTTCATGTTTGCACAGCAGGTATTTCCCCAGCCCAAAATACCCCCGTTAAAAATTAGACCCCCTGCTCAGATATAGCCGATTGGCAGCTCTGTCTCTATGTGGGTTCTTGAGTAAGGGGAGCAGGGGGCCGCCGTCTCTGCCATGAACTCTGATTGCCGCATAGAGGAAGAGGATCCAGGCAATCCTAATGAGACTTGATAGGCAAGGATCAGATAGTAGGGGAGGAAGACTGCCTCCATCAGTGGACTAGAGAAAGGGGATAAAGAAGAAGAGGAGAAAGGGTGGGAGGAGTTGAGGGAGGACACTTCAATCAGGATATATAATGAATAAATTGTGAAAAAGTAAAAATTAAAATTAAAAAATACTAGATAGTAAAAAAAATACTGGAAAAAATTACTGATAGTAAAAAAAAAAAAAATGTCAGTGTGTGTTAATTTGGGTTGCATCATATGTTAGTGAAAATTCTTTTTCAGTCTATCTTCTCCAAAACCTGTTTAACCACAAATGATTTATCAGCTTATCTAATTCAACTTCATTACTACTTGGTATCTGAGTCTCTGTGAGCTAAAAGGAAATCCCAAGGAAACTGGAAATCTTTTTATTCATCTGTGAAGATATTGAAGAAATAAAACTCATTTGGTCTTCTAAAGTAATTGCTTTTCCCATATGGCATGAAAAACACAGGCTGGCATAGAAAGAGTAAAGCTTTAGCCTTTAGGCATTGTAGTAAACACATCACCAAAGTCAGGATGCTTCTGGGCTTGTGTTCTCCCCAAAGAACAGCCAGCAAGAGTTTGAAGACTGGGCATGGTAGTGTATGTCTGCTATCCCCACTACTCAAGAAGTTCAGACAAGCTCGTCTGAGCTATATCAAAAGTATGAGACCAAGCTATCTTAGCTGCATAGTTAGACCCTGTCTTAAAAAAAATCTCCTCCAAATCCCCAAAGAAAAACATAAGAAATCTGCTAAATGAAAAGATCCAAGAGTTTGAACAAAACTTGGAGAAATAATTCTCTTCCTTGTCATCATTAACATAATATGCCTGTTATTTTGGAATGAACAAGCTGATCATCCCTAGTCCACAAGCCCGAAATCTGAAATTCTCTTGAATCAGAAACTCTGTGCCCATGTAATATCACAAGAGACAAATATCTACATTTAGTCTCAAATTATGCTGTGAAGGATTGCAGTCAAAAATGCAGGTTTACAAAAAAATAGTATATTAAAATTTTTCAGCTATTTATATGGAACATGTAAAATGTAAATGTGTATCTATAAATACAAGTGCATGGCATAAGTTAGCATTATTGTATTCATGTTTATAATTAAGTTCCATTGCCTAGGTATTTCTCACATGTGTGTATGTGATTGTGTGTGTGTGTGTGTGTGTGTGTGTGTGCAAATAGTACAAAAGTCTTTTAGTTCTAAATTGAAATACTTCTTCCTTCAAACATTTGAAATAAGAGATGCTTGACCCTGTTGTTTTCATGCCCAAAAATTGGGGAGTCAGAGAATAATCAGACAGTCCTTACTCTACAGCTACATGTGCTCTAGGAAGTCTGATGTTTAATTGGCGTTTCTAAGAATGTAACTGGTACCATTATTCTTAAATGCTCATGCTTTTTAAATGTTTTTGATGAGCTTTGTGCCTGTGTTGATTGGTCAGTTGGTTAACTAATTGCCTCTTTGGGTCTCTGGTGCCGTATTACACTATCTCATTTCCCACTTCATTTGACAGGTGTGAGATGCTTTGTTGATGGAAGAGCCTCCCGCTTGTACTTAAACAAGACATTTATGTAACTTCTAAGAATTATCAAGAATGTGGGAGATACCAGGGACTCACCTGGGAAAATTGTATATGGAATGGCTTGGGTGTTCTGTGTCCTAGCTGCTTGACTTCTACACAAGATCTAACTGGTACAACCCTCTAAGCTGTAGGGCAGACTAGCTATCTGTGATTAATGATGAATATGTCTACTCTTTCCCAAATCACTTGTTTATATCCTTACCCAGAGGAGATGTACATCCTGGATGCCACATTCAAACTGTGAATGTAAAACTAGAGAGAACGTGGGACTCGTGGGATGTTGACATTTCCCCTTCATGGAAACGTGGTTGTTTCCAAGGCAGGGAGTCTGGGTTCCAGCCTAGTTGTTCTGTGATCTAACTGGGCACTTTGCAAACAAATTGGGCAGCCAGCTCTCAAATGTGATTCTTGGGCCACAGTGCAGAACTACTCCTAGTCATTGCTTGTGTGTGTGTGTGTATTTATAATGGATGTATTTGCCACACTATGCATGTGAAGGTCAGAAGGCAATTAGATATTGGTCCTCAACTTCCACCTTGCTTAAAATAGGATCTCTTATTGTTTCACTGTGTCATATTCCAGGCTACTGGCACACAAACTTTTAGGGATTCTCCTGTCTCTGATACCCACCTCAACATAGGAGCAATGAGATTACTGCTTCTCAATACTTGCACAGCAAGCTACTTCTCCAGCCCATATTGCTATGCATAAAAGTGTGCTGTGGATAGTAAAGCATGTTAGCATTTTGCATCTTGCCTAAATGAAGGGAGGAAGTACATCAGTGTCTTAGTTACTTTTCTATTGTTGATGAAAAGCCTCCCTCATATGTTCCCAGTGTCATCACACTACTTAACCATGCCATCCCCAGCTATGATGGACCAAAATCCCTTTGAAACTAGGAGTCCAAAGAAAACTTTCTGTCCATGTTTTATGGGGTATTTTATTACAGTAACAAGAAAAGTGATAACCCTTTGTGTACCCCTTTGTGGTACAGTATGGCCTGTGATGACTATGTATCTGAAAGAATGTGAAGCTTCCTCAGGCTTATTTACTTGTTACTTAACAAAAAGCTGATATACTATGGATCATGATCAAAAGTATTTGCCAGTAAAATCCCCAGACGAGATGGGACTCATATTTTACTAAGGCCTCAGACACTATGCCATTGATAGAGTAATAACTGACCATGAATTGGACACTAAAATTGGACACTTTTAGTGTCATTGACACTAAAAGCCAAAAATGGATTTTTTTTTTTTTTAAAAGAAGACCCTATAGTGTTTGTTCATTATTGCACCCAAAAGGTTTGGAAATTTTTGTCATCATCCTTGATAAGTCTAATTATAAAATCTATTAGCAATCTTTTGAAAATAGAGCAGTAAAAACAATCTTAAGTTAGGCTGAAATATCCATACTCAAGGTTATTTCAGCAAGGAGTTAGATGTTTGCACCTTGAAAAAGTACCACCCCTCTGTGTGTAACATTCTTCACAGTGAATGAAAGTGAGTGGCAGCAACAAGTTTGCTTGTTGCTAATGGATTGCCTTTAGGCACTGGAGAAAACAACTCATAGGTCACCTGTGGAAAGTGCTTTGTGCTTGGCAAGGAGCAGAGCCTGAATAAAGGCCACTTTAGGGTCCCATGCTAGGGTGGGACATGAAGATTGGAATAGGGCTAGCATGTTTAAGGGCCCACGTGGTACCACTGACACATGTTCATTTACAAAAACATTTGCATAGACAGCATACATAGCATATACAATACACATTTATTTATAAATGTATGTTTATATTCAAACATAGCATAGACATGACACACTAGACTCTGCATTATATATCTCTTGGATATATAATATATAAAATAAATTGTATACATATATATTTATATAATATATAAAAACAGATTTCATTATGGTCCCAACAGAACTCTAAATTGTTACATTTTGTTCCTTTTTTTAAACTTGTGTATATCTGTGACCTGATTTACTGGATTTCTTATTAACTTGGACAGTTAAAATCAGTTGGTGATTTTATAATGTTTTTTCTGCAAGCTTGAAATAGGAAAAAGCCAAAAGAGAGCAAAAGAGAAGGGAATTGTTGGGGAGGGCACACTAAATTGCGGTACCAATTGTAGTGTGAATAAAAATAAATGTCGAGGTGTATCATTATGTACTAAACTGCTAGCATAAGTGAGCTCGGCCATACATCGCTCTGCCAAATACAAAGCCTTTAAGTGCTATATGGGGTGTTTCTGTAGTAAGCCAAGAAGCAACATGGGGAGACATCTGGCCAGGAGAGAATCCCAGTGTGGCTCAAGGCATGTTTTCTCATCATATCTTTTGCCCTGAGTCATTATTTACCAACCCCTCCCCCTTTGCAACTGAAGCTACCTCTGGTGTATGAGTTCTCTTTATTTTCTGAGTAAGTCTCAGGGATTTCCATCTGAGATCGGAGATTACAAATAAGGAATTGCTAAGCTGCTCATATAGCTTGGTAGTACAGTATATACATACACACATGCATGTATATATGTATATATATACTTATATGTGTATATGTATATATGTATGTATATGTATATATGTGTGTACATATATATGTATATGTGTGTTTATACATATATATGTATGTATATATATATATACATATATATATGAATAAACAAATGTGTATATGTGCTGATTCAGGTGAAAATTCAGACACAGCTAAGCTTTGTGACTAGAAGTGTACTAACAGGAGTTTTGCAACAAAACAGCTGTTAAGCTAAACCATCTACTCTTCTGCTTAAGATAATTTTAGTGAAACTTCGAAGTAGATGATTCTGTGAATGTCTGTGTACTATAAACAAAAAATGGCACTTTCTTGAGTTTTGTTTCTCTTTTTGCTCTGGTAAGTTTAGTAGTTTTGTTGCAGCATGTTTTCTACCTTGTCTTTAATCTCCTGAGCAACAACACAAGTTCGTCTACCCTCTTAGATGGTTCATGAGGACCTAAACTGTTTTGTTTTCTTGGTGATATTAGGAAATATCAGTAATAAAAGAATTTAAGAATGGACTCAAACACAAGCTTGAGGACAATTTCATTAGAGTTTAAATGAACCTTAGGGCAGGCAAGCTGTAAACCTAAGCAGCTGTGCAGAAAGGGAGAATGGAGACAAAGAAAATGAGCCACACTGAATGAGTTAGGCCAGTATGGAGGTCAACCACTTGGTGTGGATGAGGAGAGCTTTTTAGAATACAAAGTGAGAAAGAAGATGGGACGTAGCTTAGTTGGTAGGGTGTCTGCCTAAATAAAATGGAAAGGTCAAAAAGTACTAAAGAAAGTATAGTCTGGCCAGCACTGAAAAGAAAAGAGAAGATAAACAGTGGCTGCAAAAGGAAAAGTTACTTGCTTCTAAGGCAGGCAGACCCTATAGAACTTTATAGCAACTTGTAGGGACTACGCTAGGGAGCAGTATTTCAGGCAAGGGAAATTATATTATCTAATTAAAAGGCTATTCCATCTATCTTTCAAATCATGGTTTAAGATGAACCCACTCTTGAGGGATGGTTTCTTAGCCAGGTCAATAGCCTGTCCAGGAATGTTAAATCTGTGTACAGGCCAGCGATTTCATGCTCTCTGCCAGAGGAAATAATTTCCTCTAAGCCTTTTTTGTTGCTGTGTCTTTAGGATGTCAGTTTTTAGGTTCATGCTAATGATGCTTAGCTCCGTCTGATTGCTGGAATTTAGGGCAGCAGAGAGGCATTGGCTGTGGGCTCTGCTCTGTTACTCCAGAAAGGACCTTCCCCTCCCCTGTCCCTAGGACACAGCAGGGCTATCATCCACAGGGAAGGGCACTGACATGATAGCTCTGCAGTTTCCACCTGATATTATGCATCAAGTCCAGGCTGTAACAAGAGCAGAAGTAGGTACTCTGGATAGGAAACAAGGATGGGTCTCTGCTCCTCTTGTCAGTGACTAGGTTATATTCTCTTGTTGCTACTTATATATATATGCTGTCCTTGTTTGTGTCAGTGGCAGGGGTTTTTTGTTTTATCTATTTATCTATCTATCTATCTATCTATCTATCTATCTATCTATCTATCTATCTATCTATTTGGTGGTGTGATCCTAGTCGCACCCTCAACCTCCAACCCATGAATCAAACTTAGGGCCTTGCACATTAATATGTATTCAAGTATTCAGCTAGTGAGCTCTATATTCTCTACCTCAAAAATCAGCAGATTGTTTTTTTTAAACAACTCAACTTTGTAGCCCCTGCTGACTTTTAACTAGATGCAATCCTCCTGCTGTGGCCTTCCAAACACTGGGATTACACCCAGCTCAGAAGTCAATTTTAGACTGAGAATTGCTCTTTTCCTTAAATCAGAGGTTTGTTTTTCTCCTTGGGCTTGGTTTGGTGTGGTATGTTGGCAGAGACACTGCATTCTGAATTGTTGGAAGTTTGCTAGTGGTCATCCCATAGGCCTTGATAATGGCATGGATAAAAATACATCCAGACCAATTTCTATATATGTATCATGGGCATGACTGTGTGTATACATGCATGTTTATGTGATATGATAGTTTAAGTGGAAACTCTCTAAGTCATAGCTGTTTCCACAAATAAGGAGTTGTTGTTTTTCTCATTTCTCATGTCTGATTTTAAGGTTTTTATGACTGAATTGACTCTTGGCCCTTCTTAGAAAGGCCTATTTTTGTATATAATTACAGAAATGTAGTTGGTATATACATGTGTGTCTATAGCAGATCTATGTGTATGTGTCATCAATGCCTCATGTTCCATACATAACATGTTTTACATATAGCCTAACATATAACATCTGTTACAGATTGTTACCACATTACAAGTGGCAGTGGGCACAAGTATTGGAAAATGTGGAGTCCTTAAAGTGATCCAAGAGAAAAGATCCTCATTGGAATTTTTCCCTAATTTTTTATTCTGTTGTCTTCTCTACAAGCAAATGCCCAGTGTCAGCAAGCCAGCCTGAGTACATTGTAGGATCTACTGAATCAGACAGAACTCACAGGCAATTCCATATTGTCTGAATTGTCCCACTCCCAGGAAGACACAGAACTCCACAGGAGGGCCTGGACTGAGCTGGGACTCTTATCTTGAAAATATATGTATTCAAAGGAGAACACACTGACAGATTCAGGACCCCAAGTCCATGGTTCCCCTTCACCCCTACCCACACATTTTGTGGCCTATGAGCATGTCCCTGCACCCTAAGGAGGCAACCCCGTCTTAGAGACTTTCACTGCCTAATCTTGAGCCCAGGAAATACTAGGGCCTAGACAGTACACCTGCAGACTCTCACCTGGTTGTCCCCAACAAGTACTTACCAACATCATTTACTGAGCCCGTGAGAGAGAGAGAGAGAGAGAGAGAGAGAGAGAGAAAGAGAGAGAGAGAGAGAGAGATTCACCTGTCCCTTTCTCAGTCTTTCTGTGCTTAGCAGTGCCAAGCCACAAGACAACCAACATGTGAATGAGGACACAACTTTCTCTCAACCAGAAGCCCAGCTCTCTTCCAAGTGTCAACGCCTGCAGACATCAGCCATGGAAACTTCTCGTTCTCCTTCACCTCAGTTTGCCCCACAGAAGCTGACAGACAAGCCTCCCCTGCTTATCCATGAAGACAACTCAGCAAGGTATTGTCCTATGAAAGTATACCATGTATTTATGTCATGAAGACTTCAGTGTTTGTTGCTGGAACTTGCTACAGCTTTAAAAGCTGGAGTAAAATTTGATAGTAGAAAATGTGACATGACTCAAATGACCATTTGTAATTTGGTGACACGGTGAGCCCCTTTGTTTGGGCTGAATACATTTTCATTTGCCTTACTCTGTGACATATGCAGACTAAGCATGTTTTGCCAGTGATCAAAATCAGATTTAACCTAAGTATAAAATCTTTAGGTAAGTTAAGTAATGTCCAGTATTTTCATAGTATTTAAAATACTCCTTCCCTCATTCTTTTGAGACAGGATCATGATATATAACCAAGGTTGGTCTTGAACTCACTATGTATCCTAGACTAAGTAACCTAAACTGTCTTTGTACTCCTTATCCTATTACCTCTAAAATCCGAAGGGCTAAGATACCCAAGGACTCTATCAACTGAGCTATATCCTTAGCTTCTTAAACTCTTGAATAACTTAGATAAAAAGCATAGTGTTGTGGGTTAACTCTTTCCAAGTTATTGGTCTCAAGTTATGAGGTCTCATATACTTCAACCATAACAGGTTGTTATTGCTCTTTGTTACCTTCCAGAACTTCATGGCAAGACCTTTTTGCTGAAGATACCACATACTTGAGTCATAATACATGGAGAAAACAAGTTCTTAATGACCTTAAAGCTTCATCCCCACTTGCTAGCTAGAGTGCTAGATGGTGTAATGGAAGATACAAGGGGAGTAAAGTAATCAATACATTTACCAATCAATACATTTATCAATACATTTGAACTCTGGGGATTATAATAACAAACTGTCAAGATATGCCTACTGGTCCAATAGTGACAGGAATATTAAGGTAGTAACTTAATGGAAATGGAACTTACATCTGCTACTGTTAACAGTGCCAAGAACCCATAGCTGGGTAGGTCATAGACTATAGGAGAGAACCAACTACTATCTTTCTTCTAAGTGTACATAGCATTAAACTTTCCCTTAAGTACTTATCTCCTATCCCTCATCAGAAAAGCTTTTGTAATAGATGGCAGTTAATATATAGATCCACAACTTTCCAGCATGCAGAGAATATGAAACTTCTAAGTTTTCAACCTTAAATGGGACACCAGAATCACATCTTCTCTTTCCAAAGTTAAAGGATCATTGTCGAAGAGTGGCTGGAAAGCTTTTAAGAGGCAGAGGTAGTGAATGACTACAATGAAACTGATTTCCAGACAGGACAGGGTAGTTATTCAGTGAACTCACAGAGCCTTGACTGAATGCACAAGATCAAACCAGATGAATGGCAGCAAGGATGGAGAAGAGGTTCACGGAGTTGTACTCACTATCTGAGAAGCTTTGGCAATCAGTGGCTGGTAGGAAAGAGAGAGTCAGTTTTCATTCAAGATGTGGCCCTTTGCTACCCATGCTCCCATAGATAATCCTACACCCATGCACATACTAACAGTACTAAGTGGACTCAGAGGTTTAAAAGACAAAACAACAACAACAAGACAACTTAAAATTGGGAAGGAATAGTTGAGGAATGTGGAGTGGATTTGATGAAAATATAAGCATGTATAATATTCTCAAACAATAAAAAAGTGTAAAAGGGCATCACTGATATGGTTATTACATTTCTGTCTTGTTAGGTTTCTACTGCTATAATAAACACCATGACTAAACACAACTTGGAGAGGAAAGGGTCTCTTTCACCTCATAGCTTACCATTAAAGGAAGTCAGAGTAGGAACAGAAACAAGAGAGACCTTGGGGGAACACTGCTTATTGGCGTGCTCTCCATGGCGTGCTTAGCATGCTTTCTTATACAATCCAGGACCTCCTGTTAAAGTGCTCTGGGCCCTCCCACATCACACATTAATCAAGTCTGCTCCACAGACTTGCCTATAAGCCAATCTGATGGAAGCATTTTCCAGCTGAGGTTCTCTCTTCCCATAGTACTGTAGCTTGTGTAATGTTAATAATCCCAGCCAACCCAGTCTCCAATGATGATGTTTAATCCACAGCTTTATGTGTGCCTCAGCTGTGTGTGATGTCATAAATACTATTCTTTAATCATCTTTAAATTGGTAGCACTGTTACAGATCCGGAGAGAAGGTGCCCTAGTCTGGTAGTTTCTGCTTTAATAGAACCCCACAGTCTAAGTAGCTTAGAAACAACAGACATGGCTTGTTCTTGATTCTAGAGACTGGAAGGCAAAGGCTGGCAGATCTCTGTGAGTTTGAGGCCAGCATGGTCTACATAGTGAGAAATTCTCTCAAAATAAATCAACCTAGGAATTTGGGTGCACATACACGTTATCATAGTAATAGGAAAAGCAATAAAGTGACCCATGTGGTAGACAAACTGTATAACATTTTCACACGCCATTCAGCTTAGAGTGTCTATAGCTTCTCAAGTCACTAAAACTACAGTGAATACAACGGGCTTCATAGTGAAACAGAGTATCTTACATTGGGACTCAAGACCTGTTTGAGTCTATGAAACAACTTGTTGTTGTTGTTGGTGGTGGTGGTGGTGGTGGTGGTGTGTATGTTTGTATGTTTTTGTTATTTATCACAGACTGACCACAAACTCAGCAATTCTCCTGCCTCGGCCTCCCTTTTTGCTAGGATGACAGGAATGAGTTACTATGTCTAGGTAGAAACTTGTAGTTTTTAAACCATGTTTGCCTTGGGTGAGTCTCTGAGACTAATATAGAATAAGTGAGTTTCAGTTGTACAGCAGGGTATCTGTCCCTCACAGGGTAGCTTCAGGTATCAGCTGTATGTAGGCGACACATGGAACATAGGATGCAGTGCCCCAGAGTGGGACACATGGATGGAGGTGCTCAGCAATAATTCTAAACACAGCAACTCTCAGTAGAAGTCTTCCAGGGACATGGAAGACAGCCAGACACCTGCTGGTATGCAACAACCTACTTTTACACATGTGGTAATTCTGTCCATTGATGTTTTTTTTCTAACAAAGGGAGAATTTATAAATGGGGCTTGATGGATTTGCATTGTCCTCAGAAAAAAAACAAGAATCAAGAGTATAGCCGTAGCTCTTGTGTCTTCCCAGTCTAAGTCCTTAGGTTCAATGCCCAATTTCATAAGAAAACAAATGATTATTAAACAGGTCCCATTTCATTCAGGATCTCTCCTTCCAATGCCTATGTGTGGCAGAGTTTGAGTTGGACTGTTAGGCATCCAGAGACCATGTGAGGGGTCAGATGAGGACAATTTCTATCCTCTGCCTTGTCTTTCTATTTGGCTGGTTGACAGTGGGTCTTTGTGTGAAAATCCCTGTGTGAATCATGGGTAGGAGTCTATATGTCAAGTTTTCAGCGGTCAGCTCTTGTCATTGCAGAATTGAGCGGGTGATGGACAACAACACTACTGTGAAGATGGTACCCATAAAAATAGTGCACTCAGAAAGCCAGCCTGAGAAGGAGAGCCGCCAGAGTCTTGCATGCCCAGCCGAGCTGCCTGCACTGCCCAGTGGGCTGGAGAGGGACCAGATCAAGACACTGAGTACATCCGAGCAGTGTTACTCCCGCTTCTGTGTGTACACACGACAGGAGGTGGAAGCCCCACATAGAGCCCGCCCCCCAGAGCCACAACCACCTAGTACCTCTGCACCTCCTGTCAGAGATACCTGTTTCTCTCCTCCATTCCTCAACTATGGGAAGGCCAAGGAGAAAACCATGGATGACTTGAAGTCTGAAGAATTAGCCAGGGAGATTGTGGGAAAGGACAAATCATTGGCTGACATCTTGGACCCCAGTGTGAAGATCAAAACCACCATGGATCTGATGGAGGGAATTTTTCCCAAAGATGAGTACCTCCTGGAGGAAGCTCAGCAACGGAGAAAGCTGCTCCCCAAAGTCCCTTCACTCAGAGTCACAGAGGACAAGTGAGTAGCCAGCACACACCATGGGATGCTGGTTTCTCAGGTTTTTGTTTTTTTTTTTTTTTTCTCAGTCCTTATCTCATAGGCTTAGAAGTGAAAGAAGGGACTTAGGGATTTATTGCTATTCATGACTGTTTCTGGTTTTCCTTGGAGTCCCCAGTACTTAGCACTGTTTGGTAAGGTTTAAAATCACCATACCCGGATGTGGTTTCTTGGGACTTAGCAGAGGCAAGATGATGCCGACTGAAGAAGCTAATGTCTTTAGCTTATAGCTGACATGGTTATGGCAGTACCCATACGCCCTCTCCAGTTTTGTCTAACACACTGGAGAATGGAGTACTCCTGACATCTAGTGGAAAGATTACTAAGATTTTATAGTGTATGAGACGGCCCCAGATACTGTTAATGTTGACCCTGAAAAACCCTCTGTTGATATGAGGCTAACTGTTCACCTACTCAACCTGTCTTGTGTCCATCATCTAACCTCTGTATTCAATATGCATATAATATGCCTGGCCAACCACTCCCTTCAACTTGATCCTCCTACCTCAGCTTCCTGAATGCTAGGTTTATAGGATTGTTCCCACACATGGCTGTCTCCGTCCCATCCCCATCTTGATAATGTTTAAATAGAACCCAGGTCCTTATATGTACTAAGCAAGTTTATAATCACTAAGTTACAAGTTATTTTAAGTTATTTTGTTTTGAGACAAGTTTGGACTGGCTTTGAACTCAAAAATCTTCCTGCCTTAGATTCCTGAGAGGTGATACTGCACATGTATGCCACTACACTTGGCTATTTATCTTAGGTCGATATATTCAGTTATCATGTAACCTTTATATTCAATTTGTGTGTCTTTTGTCTACCTGACTTTCGCCTACTTTTGAAGCACATTACAAAGCCTGCCTTTAGTCTAAGGATGTTATATTGAACGGCATTTTCTTTAATTAGAGATTTTTTTTTGTTTGTTTGTTTACTTGTTTAAATTTTAGTTACCTAGGAACTGAGGATGCATCACCTACAATATATAAAGCCTTGGGTTTAATCCAAATCTTTGATGGGATAGGAAAAGCAGTTTTGCTTCTATGAGAGACATGTGACCATTTGACAGTGTCTGAAGACAGTTTTCTTTGCTATATCTAGAGACATGTATCTAGTATATAGAACCCAGAGGTTTTTCTCAAGATGCAACAGAGCATAAGCTAGCCCAACACACCAACACCACACACACACACACACACACACACACACACACACACACACAACTGGGTATGAGAGCACTTGCCTGGCAAGGAAGGCCCACAGTTTCCAAACTACTACTAAAAAACAACAGCAGCAATGAATAACAGTGTGTGAATCCTATATTAGTCGTTTTAAAAAATATCTTGGGCTTAACCTTCTTTTCTCATCTCCCTGGCTCTTGTACTTTTCTGTCAGTGCCATTTGTCATAATCCAGGTTCTAGGTTTAAAGAGTGTGCATGTGTCACAGCTGATTAAAATTCTGCCCTCTTTACCTAGGAAACAGGACCCCGGTGTGCTAGGGGTTGTGTCCTTGGCCACCAATTCTACCTATTACAGCACATCAGCCCCCAAGGCGGAACTGCTTATCAAGATGAAGGACCTACAGGAGCCTGAGGAGTATTCAGGGGGTGACTTGGACCATGACCTGTCCATTAAGAAGGTAAGGAGGAAAACAAGTCTGACCTCAACCCAGTAGTGCCAACACACAGCTACTAAGATGGCTGAGGCAAGAGAATCATTTAAGGCCTGCCTGGGGGAAACAGCAAGACTTTCCCTTATACAAACAAAATCCCCTACTTGCTGAGCATGCTGATGAACACCTTGTAATCCCAGCACTAAGAAAGCTGAAGTAGGAGGGTGACAAGTTCAAGTCAAGCATATGCTGCATGATAAGTTCAAGTACAGCCTGGGTGTCACAATAAGATCCTTCTTCATAAATAAAATAAAAACAAACAATCCTTTCTTCAAAATTGTGTGCTGCATCAGTGAAAGGCAGTAAGACCACTCATTTGTCACCCCAGTGGGAACCTTTCTGCACAGCATCTCTGAGGGCATTTTTGCTTGCTTTTCATGCAAGACATGGTCCAGCTTAATCCTGTTCTAACCCTTCTACAAAGCCATTGAGGATCCAACTGTAGGCACACTAGAGAAAAGAGCTCTCTGTAAAGGACCTTGTGTTCTTATAGGAATTATGTTTGGCCACCACACACAAACACAAAGATGTCTAGAATAGGCTTGGTAACCTTACTCACTGCCCATGTTTGGAAATAGGTTTTATTGAAACACAGCTACATCCATTTGTTTACATATTGACTGTCAATGACCATGTAGCCTACATGGAGTAGAATATCTCCTCTCTAGCCCTTAATGGGAAAAGTTTGCCAACCCTTGCTATACTACATCAGGTATCAAATCAGTTGGAATAGAGTGAATGTAGAGACCCAGAAATGTGTACTGTATGAGGAAAAGGTGAAGCACGTGTAGATGCCCTATTGTGGGAGGTTGGTGGTCTTTGGGAGAAGGAGCAGAAGGAAAGGTTTCAGCTTCGTGAACTAGGAAAGAAAGTTGGAAATTAACTCAGGGTCATGTTATATAGCACCCATGGAAGTCACTGCAAGGAACAGAAATCTATTGCTGCCAATCTGGTGATTTGAAAGATAGCACAGATTGATTTTAATTATGTTAGAAATGTTATAGAATGAGTATAAAAAATGATAAATTTTTGGATTCTGAGAATTAGATAGGGAGATAGGTGTTTAGTTTCTTAGAAACTTTGAATTAGAGTATGATGTATTTTATTCTAGTCACATGTCCACATTTTAAAAAACATAAACACTTTCAGTTTTTTCCTCATAAAACAGAAGTCATAGAATTTGAAGCATTTTAATTTCGTCCACACTGTATATACACACACAACTGCTTTCTTTACACTTAGACTTTGTTATTTCATAGAGAAGTGCATACTAGCCAAAGACATAGCCTATTAGCCGAATGATTACCTAGCATGTATTAGGCTCTAGATTCGTTCTCTGCCATCCTACCCCACAAAGTATATCAAAATATTTTTTAAATCCAGGTGTGACACATCTCTAATCCTAGCATTTAGGAGGAAGAAGGAAGAGAATGACACAAGTTCAAGGTCAGTCTTGAATATATAGCCATCTGTACACCAGTGAGAACGACATAGCAAGTCCCTGTCTCAGAAATGCCACCCCCCCCCAAAAAAAAACAGTTTAAAAAAATGATCTCACCTACATTTGTCTGTATAATGCTCTATTTTCTCTGAGAGGCAGTAGGTACTGGGATACTGTGGTACTAAAAGTGACTGCTTTGGGTCTGAGTGAATCACAAAGCTTGTATATTTTTTAATATTTATTTATTTTAGCCCAGACTGACTTACAACTTGCTATGGTAGTCCAGGCTGGCCTCTAACTTGCTGTCTTCCTGCTTCAGCCTCCTGGGTACTGAGATTACATACCTACATAACACACCCAGCCAGACTTACATTTTTAGATAGTAAACATTAATTTGGCCATCCTCTACCTCCTCTTGGGGTAAAACACTCTACCCCTAAGCAGCATCCCAATTCCCCTCTCAAATAACTAAATAACTAAATAATAGATAGATAGATAGATAGATAGATAGATAGATAGATAGATAGATAGATAGATA